GCAGAGGGGCAGCCGGGCGCTTGAGCCATGATTGCCGCGGCTTTCCTGGTCCTGCTGAGACCCTACAGCATCCAGTGCGCCCTCTTCTTGCTCCTGCTGCTGCTGGGGACCATCGCCACGATTTTATTCTTCTGCTGCTGGCACCGCAGGCTCCAGAAAGGGAGGCATCCCATCAAATCCGTCTTTTCGGGTCGCTCAAGGAGCCGAGGTAAGAGGTGCTGCTCGTCCCCCGGGGCGGAGGGCGGGGGTGCCCCGGCCCCCCCCGCCGTTTCGCTCTCCCAAGCGCGGCAGAACTTTTATGCCCAACTTCTTCCCGATGAATTAAATATAAATGCCGGGAGGAGCTGCCCGCTGCGCCGGGAGAGCCAGAGCCCGTCCAGGAACGGGCGCTGAAGGGCGAGCAATTAGCTAAAACCCTCAGCCGGAGCGACGTGTGCGGTGGAGCTGGATGCAGCCCTGGTGTGTCTTTCTGCTTCCCTTCCAGATGCTGTCATGAGAACTCATCACTTTCGCTCTGAGGTAATTTATTTAGCACGCAATTTCAAGGTCAGAAGTTGTTCTATTTACCTGAGTACCTATCGTTGTGGTCTTTTGTTAACGAAATCACGTAGCAAACTTTTCATTTTGCATGAAAGACATAACGTCCTCTTTCATTTCTTGTTGTGGTTTTTTTTTTTTTTTTTTTCCACACAAAACGTCAGCTCTTCATTCCTATTACCCTCACTGGCCTGCTGATTTGTGTCATTTCCAAAGCTATTGGTTACTTCAAGAGAAGCCGTGCTTGCCGTACGTGCCAGACCTCCCTCTGTCCAAAAGCAACCCCAAGCCCAGTTATTGGCTGCGCTGTAAATACGCGCAGGGCTGGTGGGTTTTGTGACCGCAGAGCTTCCCCTCGCTTGCTTTGCTGCCAGCCCTCACCTGCGCCTTGCTCCTTCTGGGGGAAGTTGCCCGCTTGGCTTGGACGCTGCTGCGGGAGGTCCCAGAAGGATCCAGACCACGAGCCTGCGTGGCAGGCGCCTCATTTCGTCACTCTGTATTCGTAGGTCAGGGGAATCAAAACTCTTACGTGCCAGTGCTAAGTGTGTAACGCAAACCCCAGTCACTTCCTAGGGATTCCAAACGAGGAGCATCATTGCTGGGAAAATATGGAAAATAATACTTGGTTTTAGCATCCGCTTTGTTTCCATGCTGCCCTATAGAGCTCCTGTGTAGGTATTTCTCTTGCCTGGTTTCCTTGCTATTGATTCAAGGCGTATCTTCATGCCATTGCCTGCCACTCTGGAAGCCTTGAGAGAGAGAGAGTTTTGCACTAAACCAATCTTTTGTTTTAAATTATTTGCATTTTCCCTTACCCGGGTGTGGGTGAGAAAATTACCCAATTATGAGTAATGTTTTCAAAAGTGTGCATGGGATACATTTTTGCAACGTGGCTTGTATTGGCAATGAGTTTTGAACTCCTAACAACTTTGAAATTTCTATGCACTGTCACAAAAAAGAAGATGACGTAGGGAGTTGTCCCATCTTTAAACCACAAACAGCCTGGCTTTGTTGTTGACCGAACGGTGCTGCAGTACAGTGAACAAATGCATCCCTCTGGAAGTCAAGAGATTTTTTTTTTCATTATTTAGTTCCTCCAATATGAAATACTTGGTTTCCACATAAAATTCTCTCACTCTCGAGCCTAGATAAAGATGAAGTTTAATGCGTTAATGCCCTTTTGAAATACGTGTTGTCCCTGTACGGTGATTCTGAAAAGGGAAGTTTGCAAAGTGATTAATCCAGTATGTGGCTATTTGCATATCACCCAGTTAGAAGTAGGCACATTTAAAATACTTCCTAGAAGTTTCCATTTTCTGAAACGTGCTAGAGTAAGCCAGGAAGAACTGTTACATTCTTTCACAATTTTCTACATTTTGTTTAGACAGAGTAACACCACAGCTAATGGGCTAAACTGCCCTTTTAAGTATGTGGTTGAGCTGTTTTCCCCTTCGTTATCTGATGATAGACTTTCGATTCTTAAGAGAAAACGATGACTCATTTGACATCGTTAAATTTTCATTTTCTGTTTTTTTTTTTTAAGTAAAACCTTATTTTAATGAATCTAATTGAATTGATTAATAACAAATTACAGGCACGCTCCCTTGTAAATATTGGCAGCATTATCTGAAACAGAATTTGACATTCTCATTCTATATCAGCACAAAACCTTATGCACTTCCAACT